GAACATCTCTGATGGTCTGTCTGGAGACACCCTGCTGCATTCTGAGTCCTTTGACAAGATAGTGTGTAAGCAGCTTCCAGGTTATCGACGAGTTGGGTTCTTAAGTGTGTCTTTAAGTCAGATTTGGAGATTAATTTTGACAGGTGTAGACAGTTTTTACTTTAGTGCAAGAAAATGCTCCAAGCCTTTTTAAGTTTAAAAAGGCAGCAAGTGAAGGTGATTATACTGAAGAATTTGTAGTGAGAAGGGTTGGTTCATTACTTTCAAAGTGAGGACAGATTTATTAACATTAAAGGGCAAGGAATGGACTGTGGGACTGGGGCAGCGCCACTTGACATTTTTCATGTTTTGTGTCCCCTTTGACCATAGGTTCCTACGTGTACCAGGGTAACAGGCAGAATTTAGTTCAGTGTGGTTTTGGGAAGAAGTTGGTTGTGGTGCTCTAGCGTCCTCTCCCATTTCCCCTCTGCAGGTATTCCCAGACAGGCAACTATGAGCTAGCTGTGGCCCTGTCCCGCTGGGTGTTCAAGGAGGAGGGTGTCCTCCGTGTGGGGCCTGTGTCCCATCATCGGGTGGGCGAGACAGCCCCTCCCAATGCCTACACTGTCACTGACCTAGTGGTAAGAACCTCTTAGTGGGGGGAGGGCCCAAAGTTTTGGCTAAGTTGATTTGATTCAACAAGCGTTTCTTGAACAACTCTGCATTGGCCTAAGGGTATAAACAAGGATAAATTAATCTCTAAGAAAGCGAGGTGCAGAAACTGAAAGGGCTGCACTTAGCTCTGCCCAGGAAGTGGGAGTCACACAGAAAGGACATTTGAATTGAGTCATGGGGATGAATTTGTCAGAGAGGTGAGGTAGAGCAGGGATTAGCAGTGTATATGGAAGTATGGGTGCTTGGGAGTGCTGGCATGCTGTGGGAATGGAGAGTGGTTTGAGCTTGGGCTTCAATGGACCATTAAGATTGTGACAAAAATCAGGACCTGCCAGAAGGCATAGATGTGGAGTCAGTTGAGGTAATCTGCTAAGTACTAGTGTTGTTGGTTCATACTCAGCAGCAGGAGGGAGGGCATTTAGCAGTTTCTAGGACTTCTGGGAATTTCTGCCATGCTCACAAGGTGGGAATCAGGGCAGCTCAGAGGGTGGGGAGAGGCACAGAGCAGGCCCAGCCTGGGCTCTCCTGTCCTCCCACCTCAGGAGTACAGCATCGTGATTGAGCAGCTCTCCAACGGCAAATGGGTGCCCTTTGATGGTGATGACATTCAGCTGGAGTTTGTCCGCATCGATCCCTTTGTGAGGACCTTCTTAAAGAAGAAAGGTACATAAAATTTTTGCAGGAGAATGTTCCTAGAAGATGTCCCTATTCTTGTTCTCATGAGGCTCAACAGAAATATCTGAGAAACCTCTCCTTACTGTTTTTTGGGCCCTCCCTAGGTGGCAAGTACAGCGTCCAGTTCAAGTTGCCTGACGTGTATGGTGTGTTCCAGTTTAAAGTGGATTACAACAGGCTGGGCTACACACACTTGTACTCCTCCACTCAGGTGAGCTGAGGACATTCCGTTTTCAGCTAGTTGGGGCTGCCTGGTGGCCAGGGCTGACCATGTGTCCTGCTGCAGGTGTCAGTGAGGCCGCTGCAGCACACGCAGTATGAGCGCTTCATCCCCTCGGCCTATCCCTACTACGCCAGCGCCTTCTCCATGATGGCAGGGCTCTTCATCTTCAGCATTGTCTTCTTACACATGAAGGAGAAGGAGAAGTCTGACTAGGGGCCAGCGCCCCAGGACTCCTACTGCTTGGAGGAAGACAGTTTTTATTGAAGTTTTTTCCCCTTGTGGCATTTTGGGTTTGTGTTGTTGTTTTTTTTTAAGTCATGGGACAGTGGCACAGCCTTACCTCAGTGGGATACAGAATTGAGCACCAATGGGTGGGGGTCAGGGAATACCTTTTTTTTTTTTTAGGGAATACTTTTTATGTAATTTTCCACCTTGAATTAAGTGGCATTTTTTTTCTTATGTACAGTCACTCATTTCTAAAATAAAAACATCACCCTCCAATTTCACCTGGACTATGTTGTGCTTTGTGAGCAGTGAGACTGTGTTTGGTAATGATTGGCTGCCAAAGGTTGAATTAGATTTTAACTGTGAGTTGCTAAAGCTTCTTAAAGGATAAAATATGGTCCATAACACATAAGGGAGCTCTGGAGGCCTAGTAGGTTGTTACTGTGCTACCAGCCCAAAGTCAAATGGTTCAAATCTGCCAGCTGCTCCTCAGAAGAATGATGGGCATTCTCTTACTGTGTGATTTACAGCCACTGAAAACCCACTAGAGGGTCAGCTATGAGTCAGTTCTGACTCCATGGCACATAACAATAATGCATGGGGGGTGGGGTGGGGTGTGTGTGTGAATGATTGAGGCAGAGAACCTAGAATGACAATGACAGTGCTTGGCTTTATTTTATAATTATAGAATTTCTTGGTTGAAAACCTTAAATACATGTTCACCTTGCTTATATTAGGCAACAGCTATGCTCCTAAAATCCATGTGTAAGGTTTTATGTGGATGCCTGGCAGGGCCGGCATATGTGGGAGTGGAGAATTGTTGGGGTCCAGACTTTGATGGGCTGTTAGGACTGTGACTGGAACTCTGGACCATGAGCAGGCATTGATCTGGAGCTGAGTTAATCTTCCTGAATAGTGTCCTTCATCCCCCATTGGTGATGTCCCCCTCCAAAGCTTTCTGGTCATTCGCATTTAATGAGATTCACTCTTAAAGCTACTTGGTTTAAGGCACATACACATTCTGCACTTGTAAATTTATTTTATTATTTTTTTTTTTTTAGTTGTAAATTTATTTTTAATTCTTCACAGTTGAAAGACATGCTGGTTAAAAGGAAGATCCAAGTTTAAAACACCACACTGTTCGTTTCCAGTTCATCAATTATGGTATTTATGCTAAGTTCAGGAGCTAAAGGAGCTCTGGAAAAGCATTCCAAAAAATATCCAGTTGTTCCAGAAAGCCTCATGTTCAGTTTAGAGGTGCGTACTTCTTCTCAGGCTTTATTTCGCTTATTTCACTCTGGTATCTGATTTTACAGACCCCTGCAAAAGCCCGCCTCAGCCCAGGTGATGTGTGCCATAGGGCGGCTTTCACATGAGCAAAAGGCCGTTCCTGAACCTCAGGGCATATGTCACAGGAGAATTTGCTGCTCACAGCCATTACTTTGGTCTATAGTGTAGAACATACGTACTAGAACCCTCAGCAGACTGCTTGGTTATTAACTTCCTAGAGGTCTGTGAAGAAAAGACCTGGCTTTAAGAGCATTCAGACAGCAGTTAGACCCGAGGAGATCTGCTCGCTTGGTATTGTTAGTCCTTTGGCTACAAACACAGGGTAATGGTAACCACATGTAAGCACTGACAAAGTTCTTAGAATTCATCTAGATCAGAAGCTGGCAAACTGGTCTGGCTAATCCAGACAGCTGCTTGTGTTGTTTTTTTTTTATGACTAGGTTGAATGTAGAAAGTAAGTTTTCCCATCAGCAGTCATACACAAGTTCTCCCACGACATTGGCTGCAGTCACTGCAACGTGTCAGCACTCTTTCCTCCTCAGGATCTTTGTTTCCATATGTCCTGTTTCCATAGCCTTTCATTTCTGTTTTTTTGCAAATACCCTTTCAAGCTGCTTTAAAGAGCACATTCTCTAGAAGAGTTGTCTCAGGGCAAGTCTTCTCTTTCCAACCAGTATTTTTTTTTAACTGGAATTTTGTTCTACGTTTCTTGCCCATTCTAACTAGGACCTTCTGTGGTGGTCTTAGTGCTCAGTTACCACTGCTGACCATGCTATCTGGCTTGGTTCAGGTTAGAGGAGACTGTGATTCAAATGGGCCACTAGACCTTTGGACTATTTGTGCCCTTGAGTTTTGTTCTCTTATGCTCCAGGTGGGATGAGATCAGTAGTTTGTATAACTGCTCCCTACAGCCTCATTTTATATATATATGTGAACATAGGCATAGTTTGCAAACATACACCACTATACCAACATGCCTTTGGAAACTATATGAACATTAGAGAAACAATGATAGAACAAGGATCAGATCTTTTGTTCAAAGGGTTGCTATGAGTGGTACTCAATGACATTTAACAACATAACCATGTATTCATGTGTATCAAGTATATTCATGTGTGAGCTCCCTCACTTATTTAAGAAATAATATTTACCTTTGCATCTGCTTACACGTATTATTACTCTTACAGGGATAAATGTTACAGCATCTACTGTAGTCTTATTCTTGCATATCTCTTAGTGTTTTTCTCTTGATCATGTTTTGCCACCTTCTTTCATGTAGTGTGTGGATTTAAGTGAATATTTTGTAACATACAAAATTAAAATTTCTTAGTCCATTAAAAAAATATTCCTGAGCACAGTCACATTCATTTACACATCTAGGGCTACTCTTATGTGACTAGAGAACTCTGGTCACCAAGTGCATAATGTATTAGGTTGCTAACCAAAGGGTTGGCAGTTTGAATCTACTGGCCTAGCTGGACAGTCTCCTCTCACAGATTTACAGCCTTGGAGCCTTAATGGATCGCAGTTACAAGTGGGAACCAACTTGACAGCAGATGGGTTTCTGTTGTAGTCAAAGAGTTGAACACCTTTAGCAGTCTAAAGTATTTACTGTCTGACTTAAGAGTTTGCCAGCTCCTTTTTTAAGACGATTTCTTCATTTTATAGTTAAAACTTTAGCCCACATAGATTATAGGATCCATCCAGAATTGCACAGCTAGAGTTAGCAGCTACCGATCATGTACTTTGACTCATACTGTTGCTTTCAAACTTGCCAAGCCTGAGACCTTCTCTGGCACTGACCAGCCCCTCTCTGCACCACACTTTCTCCTGACTTCCACCCTTGCACCTTAGAGCCCCTCCTTCGGCACTCACAGACAATCAACACAGATGCAGCTACATTCTTTTAGTAACTCAGCTACGTGTGGAGCCATCAAGGGGCTGCTCTCCAGGAGTGGAGGAGAAGGGCTGCCTGGCACAGGGCGTCACACTCCAGGTTGGCTAGAAATAACATCTTCATTTTTGTTTCCACACAACTCCTCTCTGGGAGCCTGTCAGCCAACAGAGTGGCAGCTGACTGCTGGAGAAGCCAGCCAACCATCTTGTCCAATTTCAGATTCTTCAGGGCTAAGATGTGTTCACCCCAGAGGCTTAAATGAAGCACATTTGCAGCTACTCGGGCAGATGGTCTCTGAAACAAGAAGGGAAGCTGAAAAAAACATCTACAACAAAGTATGTTGTCGGCAGCCTACTTAGTTAATGTCAGGGTCATCGTTCTCTTCCAGTCTAGTCTCAGTCATTCTTCCTGGACCTTCTCCCTCCTCCCATCCTCCTTCACTAAGCTACCTACAGTCGCTGCTCTCTACCCACGCTCCAGGCATTTCCACATGTATGGTTTGCAGTGGGGCTGTCTACTGTGTTGAAATGGCCTTCCCCATTTTGGTAGGTTCCATGCCTCACAGGTGTACTACCCTGTCTCATCCCATGGACTGGGCTTAGGTAGGTAGGTTATTTTCCTTCTTTTAATAGTGGCTGCTAGGTGCCATTGAGGAAAAATTATAGTGATGCTATAAAAACCACATCTGAACCCTGTCCTATCCTGTGCCAACCTCATCATCTCTGAGACATTTGAACTCATTGCTACAGTCACTGTCAGTATATCTCCTTGAGAATCTTCTCTCTCTTGCTGACTTTCCAACCATGATATCCCTTTCTAAGGAGTAGCCTTTTCTAGCAACATGCCCAAAGTATTTGAGACAAAGCTTAGTTATCCTTGTTTCCATGGAGCAGTCTGGCTGTACTTTTCCCAAAACATATCTGTTCTTTTGGCAGTCCACAGGATATTCAGTACTCTTCTCCAACACTACAAACTCAAAGGCATTGATTATTTTTTTCTGCCATCCTTATTCACTGTCCAGCTATGAGATACATAACAAGCAATGGAAAACACTGGCCTGAATCTGGTGCACCTTAGTCTTTACAGTGACATCACTGCTCATCTGCAATTTGGAGAGGTCCCTGACTGCAGACTTTCCCAGTGAAATGTATCTCCTGATCTCTTGACTGCTGGTCCTAAGAAAGTTGCTTGTGGATCTAAGCAAGATGAAATCATTGACAGTTTCAATCTTTTCTTCATCTTTCATGATGTTGCTTATCAGTCCAATGGTGAAGACTTTTGTCATCTTGATGTTGAGATGTAATCCATATTGAAGGGTGTATTCTTTGATCTTCTACACCAAGTGTTTCAAGTCCTCCTCACTTTCAGCAAGCAGAGTTTTGTCATTTTCATAACAGGTTGTTGATTCTTTTCTGATTCTGATGCCATTTTTCATACCAGCTTCTATCTAGAATTATTTGCTGTGCATACTACAAATGTTATAAGGATGAAGAAAGGGTACAACTCTGACATACACCTTTCCTGATTTTTTTTTGGGCTCTTTTCAGTTTATTGCATGAAAGTGTTAAACTAGTCCAAGTTAAAAGTGGACCCCAAATGGTTACATTATACAAGCTGTGAAGTTTTAAACTTGTGACAAGGGACAGAAGGGAAATTTTCTACTCATTGCAAGGAAATCCTCACTTAAACTTCAGTGAGCCCCAAGCACTTAAAACCCATGAGCCTTCAGCTGGTCGTCCTTAGCCAGTCCAATCTCTACAAGGAACTGGCATACGTTCTTGCGTTGGTCACCCTGTAGCTGAATTACTTCTCCATATTCTGGAGGCTCAATTACAGTACCATTGCAGGCAAACTTCTTAAACGCCTTCACTAGTTTCTTTTTATCGTAATCATCAGCGATCCCTTGGACAGTTGTAAGGGTCTTCCTGCCGTTTCTCTGTTGAATTCTTATATGGATATAATCCTCAGTCCCGGCAGGAAGCAGGTCATCACCCTTACTTGCATCAGCAAAGGGGTTGAAAGAGTGGAGGTTCTGGATAGCGGACATACGATACGATTCCTTTTCCTTGGTGGAAACGGCCTGCGGAAGGCGGTGGCAGGAGAAGGCGGGCAGGGGGGACGGAGCGTCAGGAAGCGAGGGGGCTCGAGGGGGAGGCAGCTAAGTCCTCGGCGGCGGCTCAGTGATTGGGGCCACCTTTCCTGATTTTAAAGCATGCAGTGTTCCCTTGCTCAGTTCGGACAACAGTTTCTTGGTACAGTTATGTTTCTTAGGCACACAATTAAGTGTTCTGGGATTCACAGTTTTCTTATTGTTAGCCACAATCTGTTAAGGTCTGCACAGTCAAATACCTTTACATAATCAATAAAACTCAAATAGACATTCTTCTCCTATTCTTTGCTTTTAGCCAGGACCATGTGACATCAGCAATGATATCTCTGGTGCCACTATCTTTTTTAATCCCAGCTTGAACTTCTGACAGTTCTCTATCAAGGTACTATTCTAGCCATTTTTGGATGATTTTCAGCAATATTAATGATAACTGTTTGATAATATCCACATTCTGTTAGATTACCTTTCTTGGGAATGGAAACAAATAAGAGACTTCTAGTCAGTCATCTAAGCAGCTGTCCTCCAGATTTCCTGGCACAGACAAGTGAACACTTCAAGGGCTGCATCTGTTAGTTGAAATACGTCAGTTGGTATTCCAGTGATTCCTGGGATCTTACTTTTTTGGCCAATGTCTTCAGCGCAGCTTAAAATTCTTACTTCATTACCACTGGCTCTTGCTTTTGCTCATATGGTACTTAGAGAAATTTTTCATTGTCAACCAATTCTTTTTGGTATGGTGACTGTATTCCTTTTGATGCTTCCTGGATCATTCAAGATTTTTCCCATAGTATCTCTAAGTATTGCAGTTTGAGGCTTGAATTATTCCCCCCAGTTCTTACAAACTGAGAAATGCTGAGCAAGTTCCTCTCTTTTTTTCCTCAAACTTCAGCTCTCTGCACATTCCGTTATAATACTTTGTCTCTGCTCCCAAGCAGGTTGGGTGAGTCCTGGCAAGGACAGCCAAAGGGCTTCTTGTGCTCCAGACAGAGGTGACCGTAGAGAAGGTATGAAGAGCTGTCTGGTGAGGCTGCAGCCATGGCAGCTTTTCCTCTGAATGAAGTAAAAACCAAATCAGACTCCCAGCTGCCCAGGACAGAACAGCCAGCCTCATAAGGTTTCTAAGGATTTTGGTTTCGAAGATCTTTGTCTTCTCAAGTTGCCCTTTGAAATTTTCTGTTCATCTTTTTTACTTTGGCATTTCTCCTCTTTGAAAATTATATTACAGTATTGAGAACCAAAACAGAGTATCTTCTGATATCCATTTTGTTCCTTTCTTCCTCCTCTGTCTTTGGAACATCACCTTTTGCTTTCTTCTTCATGGATTCCCTTTGATGCCATCCCATAGCTCATCTGGTCTTCCGCCATTAGTATTTGATGCCTCAAACCTATTCTTTAGATGATTTTGAAATTCAAGTGGGACAAACTCAAGGTAGTATTTTGGTTCTTGAGGACTTGCTTTAATTTTCTTCAGCTTCAATTTGAACTTGTACATGAGTAATTGAGGGTCTGTTCCATAGTCAGCACATAGTCTGGTTTTGACTGCTAATTTTGAGCTTTTCCAATGATTCTTTCCACAGACATAGTTGGTCTGATTCCTGCATAGTCCATCAGGTGAGGTCCATGTGTAAAGTTGCCATTTACACTTTTTAAAAAAATGTATTTGCTATGAATAAATCACTGAATGTACAAAATTTAATCATTCTATATCCAGTCTCAATTCTGTCACCAAGACCATACTTTCCGACTACCATTCCTTCCTTCCTCATTGTTTCCACATTTTGCGTTTCAGTCACCAGTAATGCCTCTTGGTTGCATGTTTGTACAGTGTTCGTCTGCAAAAGTTGGTAGAAATCCTCAGTTTCCTCCTCTTTGGCTTTAGTTATTGGTGCACATATTTGAGTAATAGTCTTATTAAGAGGTCTTCTTTGTATGCATGTGAATAGTACCCTATCATTCACAACATTGTACCTTAGGATCTTGAAATTGTCTTTTTCATTAGGAATGAAAACGCCATTTGTCCTCATTTTTCATTCCTGGTATAATAGTTCATATGCCAGTCCATCTCAGTTCACTCATGCCTAGAATGTCAACCTTCATGTGTTCCATTTCATTTTTGACAACTTACAATTTTCCATAATCAACACTCTTGGCACCAGCAGTCAGGAAGTTAAAAGACAAACTTGCACTGGGAAAATCTGTTGTCAGAGACTTCTCCAGAGTACTGAGGAGCAACAGTATCAGTCTAGAGATTAAGGTGTGCCTGATCCAGGCTATAGTCTTTGCAATTCCTTTGCATCAGAGAGCTGGACAATGACTAAGGATGACAAAAGAATCATTGATGCTTTTGAGTTGTGGCACTGGAGAAGAGTCTTGAACATACCATGGACCACCAAGAAAACATGTAAGTCTGTCTTGGAGAGGGTGAAACCAAGTTTCTCCTTAGAGGCTAGGATTTTGAAGCTCTGTCTCACATACTTTGGGCATGTGGCCAAGAGGGACTGGTCCTTAGAGAAGGACATCATGCTTGGAAGAGTGGAGGAACAGTACAGGAGAGGAAGATGACAGATGAGATGGATTGATGCAGTAACTGGGGCAATAAGGGTCAGTGTGTAGGAGTCAGTGAGACTGGTTCAGGACAGGGCAGGCGTCAGAGTTGTTGTACATGGGGTCGCTATGAATCACAGGCGACTTGACGGCACATAACAGTACATGCTATGTTCTATTTATTAAAAGCTGCCTGCAGCTATTTCTCATTTTGAATGACTTCCAATCTGGGCTCTACTTTAAGGTGAAATTAGTATTAGATTAATTCTATGTTCCTTTATTGTTCATATTTTAATAGTTGTTGAGTACCGTTGAGTTGGAAACGACCTATAGCTGACCCTCCAGTGGGTTTTCAGAGGTAGTTAATCGCATGGGAGGTGACTGCTCCTCCTTCTCCTGTGGTGAGCAGCTGATGGTTTCAAACTGCCCGCGGGCCTTTGGGATTGCAGTGCAGTTTCTTACCACTAGGCCACCAGAGCTCCCTGCTACTGTACCCAACATGGCATTATGTGTATGGTGAAAGAAAAGTGGTAGAACAGTAATTTGACTTACGGTCTGTCTCGAGGGTTTTTCCACTAAGTAAGTATGCCATAGAAACTGGGCCTGCCACTCCACTCATAGCTTCAAATACTAGCCTTTATATTCCTTCAGAGTAATTTAAAAAATGTCCACATGGGTGCTTGTGAGAGGTTTTCCTATTTGTCTGACTAGGTCTCAGCTCTTCCTGTAAGCTACAGCCTTGTTAAGCATTTATAAAAAGTGCAATCTTGTCCTTCTAATGTGAAGGTGCCATCACTTAACACCCAAGTTGGTTTTTGCTCAGTGACCCCCATGTGACAGAACAGACCATCCTTATAGGATTTTCCAGGCCATAATCTTTAAAAAAATAAACTTGTCTTTCCCCATGGAGCTGCTGGGTGGAACTGCCAACCTTTCAGTTAGCAGCTAAGCACCTAATCATCACATTACCAGGTTCCTTCTGAGTAACTTTTTAAAAAAAATGTTAATATGCAATTTTATTTTACAATTTAATTAATGGCAGTTTATGATTTTTAAAACATTGTTTCCATGAAGACCCCCAAACAGGTGGACTGACATGGTGACTGCTGCAATGGGCTCTTGTGTGTCAGGAAGTGTGAGGATGGCGCAGGATAGAAAGAACAGGGTTCAGACCTTTTGTTCATAGAATCGCTATGAGTCTTCCTGGACTCAACAGTACCTAACAACAGTGTCATCCATAACTGGCTGATGAAAGATAAGGCAAGATTCAGGTATGTTGTTCCCAGAGAAGCTATGATTCATAGTTAACTGAGCATGGAATAACATGTCAACCAATTAATGCAAAATTAGTAAAATAGGAGCCATGGATACAAAGACCTTCTAAAGCGTGATTGGTTCTATTGGTCTATGTAAAATTTGGATGAAACTGCCTTCACAGGAGGGACACTCAGGCAATTAAGGTCACCAGGTGTTGGAAATGACAGACAAAATAAAGGGTGCAGGGGCTCTGATGCAGAAATGTCGGTGAATGTGAAGATCTGGGATTCATCTCTGTGTCTGAGTGACTTTCAGCAAAGGAGAGTTCAACTGTAGGATTCTGACTAATGTTTTAGTGGCAGATAGCTGCACCACACCTACTTAAGTTAATACGTAATTATACTGCTGTATGTAAATGCTGTATTGCTGCAACTGTCCTTTACTTTCATAAGCTCCAGGGTCTGTTTGTCCCTGCAGTACCTCAGCCTGTCGTCACCCTGGAACACGTGCTCAGTTTTCCGTCCATACCTGACAGCTGTGGGAACAGCCTCACCTTACTGGCCTTTCGCTGGAGCAGTGCTCTCACTAGGTGTCTTGCATCCAGAGGCACTGACTCGGGCAGTGCTGGCAGCTGGGCCTCTTTGTAACTACGGCTTTCCAGGTGGGTCTGATCCTGGCCGTAAAAGGGATTGGAGAGTCCAAAGATCTCATAGGCAATCGCTCCCACAGCCCAGGCGTCTGCCTTGCTGTAGTCGATCACTGCCCTGGGGCCAGGACGGGCGGTGGACACCTGCTTGGGAAGCAAAGATGTGTAGTCACGCTCCTGGCATTTCTAATCCCACTGTGTTTTCTCAGCACTGGTCCCAAGGGCCAACCAGGGCTCTGTCCAGGAGCCCAGCATTTGAGTCAGCTGTGGCTCAGGCCCAGAAAAATCTGCTGAGACTGCCTGGTTTATGCTCACAAAACTCCTGCCTCCTGGGAGCATGAGAGAGATCCAGATTAAAGCAAAGTGGCAGGGGAGGGACTGGTACCAAATTACAGGCCAGAAAAGATGAAGGTGTTGACTAAGAACTAATGAAGTATCCAGTCTCATCCTATTATTTCATGGGAGAGAGATGTAGTGGAAGTCTCTGCTGATAACAGATGACGCAGGCAGCAGGACTCACCTCAGGAGCCATCAGGCAGCCGTTTCCACCCCGATCCACATACCAGCTGGTGAAAGGCAACTGCAGGCCGATGCTTTCATCTGCCAGGCAGCAACCGAAATCAGTGATCACCAGCCAGGGACAGCCATCTGTGGAAGGGACAGGAGAGGTGAGTAGCTGGTTCTCCTCTCCTCCCAAAGGTCCCTGTGTTTTCCCACTAAAGTCTCCATCAAGATAGGTAGGAGAGGGACTAGCAGGGATTCGGCTGGTCAGAGTGCAGAGCACAAAGTCCTGGAAGGGAGTCCCCTCACCAGAGCTGAACCGGAGGGCATCCATGAATGCAGAGAAACCTCCAGGCAATTAAAGGCCCAAGGCAAACCAGCTCTGGTGGCTGAGTGGTAAGGATTTGCATTGTCAACCCAAAGGCATGAGGCCCAAATCCACCAGCTGCTCTGCAAGAGAAAGATGGGCTCAATTCCCACGGGATTTACTGACTGTGAAAACTTGCAGGAGGGTCCGCTATGAGTCGGTCCCAACTTGATGGTACACAACAACAAGGCAAATGACAACCTGATAAAAGTCTAGCTCATAAAAAAAAAAGGATGAAAAATGAAAAAAAAAAGGATGAAAAATGGAAAAAAAAAGTCTAGCTCAGTCTAAATTACTTTCTAGCAATTAGAGTTCTTGCCAAATGAAATATGCCGTTCAGTTTACTCATTAGATAGTGCCTGCCTTGAATGACCTCTTTACAGCCCTTTATATCTTCAACTTGAATCTGAAAATCCCAACTCCAAGTCTACTAAACAGGTGGTGAGGCGCCGTCTAGTTGACTGAGACTCATAGTACAGCAGATTGAACCCTGCCCTGCCGCGCACTCTGCATCCTCCTTACAGTCTCCGTTGCTGCCCATTCTTGCAGTTGCTGTTCTATCTATCTCATTGAGGGTCTTTCCCTCCTTTACTGACCATCTACTTTTCCAAGCCAGAAGAATAGAAGTGCTGCCAAGGTGCTCCTTAGAAGCAAGGATGGTGAGATCTGGGCTTACTTATAGCATGTTAGGAGAAGTCATTTCTCAGAGGACAGAATGCATTAAGAACTATTTATCTGTAAAAGGAACCAGAGTTCCTTTAAAAACACGAATTCCTTTAGTAATTAAATTGCAATATGACTCTTTGAAATCTCATTCAAATCATATCAGGTGGATGACTCTCCTCCACTATATCCCCAGATAAATGGCCATCTAGCTTTTCCTTGATTGCTTGTAGTGATGGGCAACTCATTATTTGCAGAGATGGCTGGGCTTATATTAGGACACCTCTCACTGCTTGAAAAGTCTTTCTTAAAATAAACAAACACCTCCCTCTCTTTTATTTATACTAAAGCACTTCCACGCTGAGGTCTGTAAATGGGTAACAGAAAGGAAGTGGGAGGCGAGAAGATCCACTGCAAATCCACCAGATGCTCTGCAGGAGAAGGAGGGGCAATCTCCTCCTGTACCTGTCAGATCTGATTTGATGGTACACACACACACACACACACACACACAAATAATAAAAAATAAAAGAATAAAAAAAAGGAACTAGGGAGACAATAAAAGCCCGTGCTTTGAAAATGGTGCTCACCTTTGTGTGAAGCAAAATTAATACATGAAAACTTATGGTAATCTAAAACCCTAAAAAGCCTTAAGGGTCCTAAATGTTCCCAGACTTAACCTCTAGTGCACCCTGGTTCCCTCTGATAAGCACTTACCAGCATCAAACTCCACAAGGATGTTGTCAGACTTTAAGTCTCTGTGTGCAATGCCCTGTTGGACCAGATGATCCACCCCTTCCAGGAGCTGCAAGGTCATCACAGTGGCGAGGCGGGGGCTTGGGGTGGCTGTGCGGAGGTACTGGCGCAGGGTACAGGGATAGCTGATGGAGGGGAGACAGGGCCTTGTGTTATCACGAGCACACGGATGGTCCGTAGTATGTACTGCTAGGATGGTAGCCTCTTCTTCCTGGAACGTTTCATTATTTACCCACCTGTCTGTTTCCAAGCCATTCACCATTCCGAAATTCTAAAGGAGTCTACATGTTACAAGTAACAGCACAAATATTCTTTTTCTTAAAGGATTCATTATAGTAATATTAGTGGTTACAGGGGATGATGAAAGAACTGTTACTGAGACATAGGCTGGGTAAGCCACAGACAAGGGATGCTTGCTAGTCAAATGTGCTGAAAGCATTATGTGAAAAGTCCAGGAAAGTGGCTCTAGGACAGATATAATCCACTCCTTGATATCCCAGTGATGCTCCTTCTCCCTGAATGCCCGTGCTTGGTGTACACACACAGGGCAAGACCCAGCTCCTATGCTAAAGATGAGGCAGCTCCAGTATCTGGCGACAACCCTGCCACTTACTTCTTCATAACAAGGAAAAGCGTCCGTCCATGGCCCAGGCCATCAGGGTGGAGTTGTGGGGGCAGCACATCAGGGTAGTCAACCAGAGCCCCTGGCAGCAGCGGCACAGACGAGGTGAAGGCGCGGAAAACCCGGATGATGTTGGGGTGAGGCGCCAGCTGCTTGACCCCTCCCTTGGATTTTCTTTCAGTCAAGTGGGGAGACATGAAGCCAGAGTCAGATACAGTGGCTGGAGAGCAGACTCTTGTATAACATATGTAAGCAGTCAGTACCCAGAGCATTGCTGTCTAGTGCTTACCAGACGGCCCTGCCCTGAACTGTCCAGCTACTCTGCCACCCTGAGAGCTCTCCAGGAACAAAATGGGTTGTTTTTTGTTTTGTTTTTAACCAAACCACAAAACAAAACTCAGCTCTACAGTGCAAGCTGCAAGTACCTAGAATGATACTTGGCACCTTCAGGGACTCTGTTAGGGGAATGAGTGCTTTTCTCCGGGAGACAGAGTTCAGTTTGTACTGCTAGATAGGTGATGTTCCATGACTCAGTCCCCACCACTCCACGGAGACATCCGAAGTCAGGCCAATTTTCCAACCACTGGCATGGTTCGATGGCTTTCCTGCACCTGTTCTAATGTGGATCATGTGGATCACTCACTCACACTGTCTAAAGTCAGGTAATTTGCAATCTTTTCCAAGCAAAATTAGCCATCAACCACAAACCCATTATTAACTACATTATTCAGTAGATACATCTACTGGGTGTCAGACATTGTGCTGAGTGCTGGAGACACAGGTGGTCATCATACTCTCAGAGCACTCACAGCCAGGGTGGCCAGTGGGCCAAAGGGACTTACCTGTAGGTGATTGCTCCATACTCCCCGGCTAATGCCACTCGGCTCGCTGGGACCAGCTCCTGGCTCATTGTGCTCAAGATGGCTTCGTTGGAAGAGCCCGCCTGCAATATAGCCACAATGAGTCTAGTCATACAACCCAAGTACCACGCCCTCCCTGTAACCTGGACCCGGGCAGCTACTGTCTATAGTTGCCTTGCATCTTCAAGAGAAGATAACCTCTCAAGTGGCAAGAGTGTGTACTCCTAGGAAGAGAAGGTAAGGGTGCCATTCATGCCACCTCAGGGAACTCTTCCCATGCCTCAAACTCTTGGCAGCTGTCAAGGTGAAGGCCAGGGCAGGAGGTACTTTTTCCTGCCAGAGATGCCTTTGGCTACTAAAGCATCTAAACTGACAGGCCATAGCCTGACAGACTCCACCAGGGATCAAGTCACACTGAGCCACAGAGCAGCCTCCTCCACCTCCGCCTCAAGTAAGCAAACATAAACTGAAGAGGGAGAAAAACACCTTGGATTCTTCATTTCATTATGAGTGACACTCAAGATTGATGGTACCTGGATTTGTACCACAAAGCTCCTCTAAGAACCCATAGATCCAGTTTTTATAGCGTTTGTGAATACAACAGCTGTTACTAGTATTGTCAGGACCAGTAAAAGTTTAGGTGCTAAAGACAGGATGCATCATAGGCAAAGCATCTGGCCCAGCCTGGAAGTGCAACAATCTAGAAATTGCATTTAGAGCCAGAACCCACACTCTCCAGTGTGTGGCCTAACTGCTGTGCTGCTAGCCACTATAGCCTTGGATGGTACTTGGGCAGACGACAGAACATCAGGTTTTGATCAGTCTCCTAAACTCAACTGTGCAACAGCAAGGTAAAGAAATGACTCTGAAAAGCGAGAAAGCTTTGATTTTGTAGGGGAGAAAAAAAAAAACAGCCTTGAGAACTGCGGGGTGACAGGGTGTCTCTGATCTGGAGGTGGGAGTGAAGGGTGATTCACAGGAAAGGAGTGGGCGCCTCCTATTCAGTGAGCCACTCCATGGGAACAAGTCGGTGAGGGCAGCTGCAGGCCTGAGGTAGATCGACCATGACTGACAGGTTAGAGACCAGTGTTCAGACACTGGCTACAAGGCCCACTCAGGCCTCACCCCAGACACTGAGTCAGAATCTGCCCTTTATCTTGTCCCCAGGGTGACCTGTGGACATACTAAAATGTGACACCCACTGCTTAGACTCTCTTGTGTAAAAGGTACTATTACTGTGGAGAATTTATGTTTTTCCCCATCTGCTCCCTGAAAAGTCTATCGGGTCCACTCAGGCTGGCATTTGCAAAGTGCTACCTTTGAAGGTGAAAGGGCATGTCCTTACCGAGATGTTCCACATCATCTTGATGGCTAAGGGAAAGGCCGGGGGCTGGGATGTGCTCTCCTCAGTTTCCCCCTGTGGAATGACATCGGGTTCTCTTCTTGTCAGCAGCCTGGAGCTCTCTGCTCCTTTCAGCTTCTGGGGCACCGTGGGCACAGTGGCTTCATACACAGCAGCACTGCAGCCCTTGCCAATAGATCGCCCTATAAGATACTCCTCCAGGCGGAAGCCCTGCCAGCGTCTATTGTCCAGTGGGTTAGGCAGCAGCTTGTTTTTCTGGGTGAAAATCGCCTGTGGGGGGAAATGAAAGCACAGTGATCCTGGGGCCTAATAAAGCACAAGTAAAGGGACAGGAGGGGAAAGTGGTAGATTGATTGACAAGGTCCTCATTGTCAACATCAAGGGCTACTAAAAATGTAGCCAAATTGGTTTTTATGGCTTGACCATCCTGTATTTCTGGTTATTCAGAATAATTTCTCACTTCATTGTAGTCAGAGACAGCACAACCCAGCACAGTCCAACCCAACACAGAAGGGATTAGTGAGGTCACCAGAATGTCCAAGTTTTGCAGTTGGCACACCGCTTCTGCTGCCTGTGACCCTGCTGTCACATTCTTAGAGACTCCTGATTATGAGATGGCTATCTCTGCAAAGAACTTGGCCACAGCCACTACACAGTAATCAATACCTGAGGGTGGGCAGCAGCACCAACGGTGATATCCTTCACTTGGTAGTGACCTCCAGCTGTTTTCTGCAGGTGAGGGAGTAAACTCAGAACTAGATCTACAGCTTGTCTGTCTATGCCTCCTAGGAACCAGATGGGTGGCTCACTGTTGTAAGGAATGGAACTAAGAGTACAAGCATTTGGGCAGAAAGGCGTGTAGGCATGGGGAGCTGGGCTAAGAGTTCACATATCAAAAAACTGAGTATGTTCCTACTTCAAATAGTTGCTGGGTGCTTTCCAGTCCACAACTTGTAGTGACCCTAAACAATCTGAACCCTGGTCTATCCTGTCCAGCCTCATCTCAGTGTGACACTCTTGTGTCAGTCTATCTTGTTGAGGATCTTCCTCCCCTTTGCTGACGAAAAATGATGGCTTTTCCCAAGAACTGGCCCCTTCTGACAACATAACCAAAGTATGTGAGATGAAGTTTCACCATCCTTGCCTCTATCATAATTTCTCCAATCATCAAATCTGCATAATCTGCTGATCCGTTCCTTTCCAATTCTATAATCAGTCATCCAGCTGTGCCAGTATGGCCCCTTCACACTGACCTGCGGTCACAACTTGAAGGTACCAGTCTTCAGACACCCCCATCCCACCTCACATGATCCTTCACTGTCTGAGTCCAATTAAACTATACTATTTTTACATGACACTCCTTTGCTCCAATCCAATCCAACTCTCCTTCAGTTCAGCCCATATTTCCATATGAAAACCACTTCACCAAACAGGGCATACATTTTCACTTCTCTGGGTAAATGCCTATGGAAGTAATGGCTGATGTATTGTAGGTGCATCTTTAGATTTGTAAGAAACTGTCATACTATAGAGGTGTTAGACCATTTCACACTCTCATCAGCCACACACGAGGTCACCTTTCTCCCTATCCTAACCAGTACTTGGTGTTATCACAATTTTTTATTTTAGCAGTTTGATCTGCAGCAACCTTTTTTGCCCTGTTGTTTTTTTTTTGTTTTTTTGTTACAAGAATCATTTCTTATTGGTCATCCTGTATGGGGGGGGGGAAGCGCATTTGTAGAAAGGCAAAGATAACAGCCTTCAAAGGGGGCCTTAGCCCTACAGTAAAGCAACAAATTCTGAACCAAATCACCTCAGCAAAGGAGGTGCAATTTGTAAATCAAGATAAAAATCTGGGCAGCAACTGCAGCCAGGCTGCTCTGAGGTGCTTGCAGGTGGCACAGGTGTCCCTTTCCTTAGGGAATCTGTGACCTCGGTCTGGGAAAGTGGGGGTAGGGGAACTTAGAACACTTAAGGAACCAGAACACCAAGCCCTCCCCCAGGCAGCTGCAAACTGTTTCCAGCTGTTCAGCAGAACTTGGGGAACTTGTCTGGCCTGGCCTGTATCCACAGAGGAAGCACACTGTCCAGCCAGGCTGGCAGGAAGCAGCTCCACCCATCCCCCCAGGGTTCCCCTCACGGGAGAGTCCCTGCCCCCTTGGAGGCATAGGGTGCAGGCCCCTTTCCTGTGGGCTTCACCTTCCGTTAGCCAAGGCACCAGAGGGCTTCCAGGTCCCAGTGGGCGCTCATGATCAGCCAATTGAGATTGGAGAGCTCCATGACCAAGCTACACACAGTGCCTGTTGCGTCTCAAAGGCCTGGATCCTTGACTTGGGGTTCCTGGGCTGGGCTGAGGTGATGGCAGGTGGGCTGGTGCTATTTCCTGCCCTGTTTTAATTTGCATTCCTTTAGTGGATAGTGATGCTGAGAATCTTTTCATGGGCTTATTTGATACCTTTGTTTCCTCTTCAGGTTTTTGCCCATTTCATAGCTGGATTTTTTTTTTATTTCGTTTTGTCTTGTTTTAACACAGATCCTTCTAGAGAGCAGCCACCATTCTGAAGAACATGGAATTGTAGCACTAGTGTTGGTAGAGCTTGTGAATTTTCAAAAGAAGTCAAATATCTGAGTCTTTAATTGGAAGTTAATTGCTAACTCCTTAAAACTATGAGGCAGGAGGGTACAGTGTGAGAAAAGACATGTGGAGGGTGGGTAAACCTAGAAGGATCAGTCTTACAGATAAAAAACCCCCACCCCTTCCCTATATTAAACAAGATTTGGTAAGTTCTCCATTTTTGTCTTCTGTAAGTTAAGCTGTAGCAAAAGACAAGGGCGAGAGCTGAGGGCTAGGTCAACGTCACCTGTCATTCAAAACTAGCTGGCAATCAAGCACGAGACAGCCTGGCGACGGTAACGAAGAACGAGAAGAACGAGAACTTGGCTGGAGACCAGGACACATGGGCTCTGTGTCCTTGGCTACATCAATCCCCCTGCTAGGCCTCAGCCCCCACCTGCAAGATGTAGGGGCTATACTGATTCAAACCGAGGGAGAGGCAGCGTACAAAGGGTGATCTCGGAACTATTTCAAGAGTTTATGAAGAGATGCCCTGTTGTCGGTAGACATCACTGGTAATGCTATTAACCAAAATATCAGACTTGATGATTCCTGTGGGGTCAATGTCGCTAAGTGCTTGGCTATACTCTAGAGATGACATTGCTCACTGGTTAGGGTTACAGACTTTAGCTGTTACGTGATCTCAGTACGTTTCCCCATTCATACACTGTTGATAATGACTTAAGATAAAGGAATGTTGCAATTTAATTGTCATGAAGTTTGAGAAAATGCTAACAAAATCACTAGCCCAGCACCTACTGGATCGGGAGCTATTTCCAAAACATGCTGCTTGAGTAAAGGAAAACAGTTAAGAAAAAAAAAAAA